AGAGAGCTCTCCACTTAAAATTAGTGCTCAAAACAGAGAGTAATTAGGTTTAGAAGAAAACTCAGTTAAAGTTGTTATGTGACTATACCATTAGAATTAAGAGGTAACTGAGATTTCCCAAGTGATAACAGATAATTTGCCATTTAGCCTGTAATGAGGTTTGAAAAAAAAAAAAAAAAAGCTCAACAAGATATCAGCAGTAACTAGAAAGGCATTTCTTAGAAGGTCCACCTAGTGTGCATTTATTCCTTTATCCTTATAAAAGAGACAAATTGTCTAATGCAATATTCTCTCAGTACTCATCATTAGTGCCCCCCAAAAGATTTCTATTGACCCTAACCATCTCTACTGACTATTTTCTCCTCTCCTAGCTTTTCCTACTTTTCTGCTGAGCTATTCTGTCATAAGCCATCTGGTTCAGATGTGGTGGGTTAGTGCGGAGAAACAGAAATCATAGCCTTCAACATTGAAGTAATTACATTTTTACTAGAAATATCCAGAGAAATATGATGCAATTTTTAAATGCATATGCAAATCATGTGCAAATTATATGCTAATACATGTGTGGCCCGCCTAACTATTACATATAACTGAATGCAGCCCTTGGGAAAATCTTATTGGAGATCATTGGTCTAATGAAAATTGCTGCTGAACGCTAATTATAGTGACATGTGTGCTACTGTATTGCCCCTTAGTGGTGAGGGGGATGACAGAGGTTAGTTGAAGTTAGATGACTGACTGACAGGAATTATGTCTGTGGTCATAAAAGTAAATAGCAAAATATCTCTATTCTCTAAAAGTCCAATTTTTGTAACTTTATATCTGAATTAAAATACAATCTTAGATGACTACTGACAATGTATTTAGAAGTCTATGAGACAAAAGAGAAACTACCACTTGACTCAATCAGTTTTTCTTTGCTACAGTATTCACACATTTTTCACATTTTACTTGTTGTCTAATTCACTGGAAATATCACAATTATAGAAATATGCTCAGAGAAAAAAATAACCCACTTATCTTTCACAAATAAGCCAAGTTTTATAAAGATTCAATACTTTCTTTAAAACAGAGGAATCCAAACTCCACCATGTTCAGTGGTATTACCTTGGGCAAGTCTCATAACATCTCTGATCTTCTGTTAATCAACAATGATATAATGGTATAAGCCTTTCTTGGGTAGTTAAAAAATAAAATGAAACACTGTTTTGCATAGCCTAGGTTGAAAGAGAAATGCTATGAACCTGTTATGATATTTCAAATAGTAATTTTTTAAAGCTTTTACCATTTATATATAGATATATTTCCTCTTCTAGAATAATTTTTAATTTATGATATTGATATTCCATAACTATAAAGATGCTCAATATTTGAGAGATGGATCCTTCTTATTTAAGCTATAAACCAAGAGAAAAAGAAGAATAAATTTGGTCTTGATTGTGATGTAGAATATTAAATGGAAGCATAATTTGTGATTGTATTTAGGAATCTTAATACCACCATTTGAGACTTATGTCTAAGAGATGAAGAGATTGAATTGTGGGGGAAGAGTGAAAGAATTATCTTAATTATTCATTAACCTAATTAGCTTAATTAATTTAAGCAGTTCCCTGCTTGAAAGAAGTACTTTCCTGAATTTGTTCAGAATCACATCTACCTTTATTAAAGCCAAAATAGACATGAAATGTATGGTGGTTAGCTTAGAATAAAGCATAGGAGTCAACACACTCACCAATTGTGTTGGTCTTGAGATAGCTTGTGGAGAGTATCCCTTGATTTCTAGGATTTATTTACTCTAATCAGGTTTTTTTTTCTAATTTCTTGTTAAAAAATATTTTGTCATTTTTAGAACTATTTTAAATTGAAAATATAAGCATATTTAAGAGCTTCTTGTAGTTTTGACTAAAACCAAGGGTATAAATATTTGTGGGGAAGAATTCAAATGGATTCCAAATTGTCTAAGATGCAATTTGGTTTTAGGTTTTAAGAAGAAAGCAATTCAGGTCTTGTTACAGTATATAACAAAGCACTTAAATAACTGTATGTTTTATGTTAAGCATAAATTAGATAGCTGAATATTCCTTTGCTTTTTATCATTAGCAACAAAATAGATAAAATAAGGGATATCTAGGTCATTATGAATATTAAGAAAGAAAGATTTTAGGAAAAAACCATATGTTGGGTCTTGATCTGTATGAAAGGCTGTTTTATATATAGTGTGTATTTCCTGTTAGTATTTAATGTTTACAAGCTTATCTCCAGCATTGAGTACTTTTATTATACAAGGAGTATTAAGAACAGTGCTTACTAAGTGCTTTGCTGTTATAAAGTTAATGAAAGAAAATGTGATTGTTTTGGCATTATTCTTTTCTTGACATTGTTCTATTTGACATCTTAAAAATTAAATGTAGGCTTGTATCTTGATGGACACTAAGTTGTGCCTTAAATCTCATGTCACATTTTCCCCAGCACAGATGACTTGATTACTAAAGATGAAGTCATTGTCCACTTCTTAATGACTTAATTATTTGGAAACAAATTGATTTATCCCTTTTATTTCACTAAGCTCCTTACTTCCCATGTTAAGCAGAAGGAGGAAGTATGTTATGAAATAAAACTGAAGGTTTAAAAATGTTTGATCACAGTTTTCTCCTAGTATAAAATGTGTGAAATCAACAGATTCAACACTTTTAGCTTCAGGAAATGTTCCACTCTCCGAAAGGCATATAATTGAGTATACCTGTGGTACAGGGCTATGTCTAATCAGTCGACTGTGTAACTGGTAGAGTTAAGTGCCATTCATCTGGCTCCCCTGAGATTTGTGGAAACAAGAAGGAGAAACAGGCATAAGACAAAGATATATAACCATGTTGACCACTGAAGCTCCTGGTTAACAGCTTAATTATCTACATTCAGCTATCAGAAACAAACCTGTGTAATTTAGGCACATTTTGTAATTTACAATCGAAATAGTATAATGCTAAGGGACAGTGCTGCTAGAATTAGAATCTACATAAGTGTGTTTAATTTAATTTTCTAATTATATTTCTAATAGCTTAAATACCTGCACTGATAAAGCGGTTAACCACCTGCATTTAAATGCCACCTGATGCATTTATTTTGGAATAGTAACAGATTGGTATAATTTGAGCTCAAATTCCTCTGAAAATTCTTCCATTAATGGGTCTCAGATTAATCTTTGTGCCTGATCTACCAATGCTGTGATATGGCAACAATCATTGTGAGCATTGCCATTACATGGTGCTATTCTGTTGTTATTTCTTCTTCCCAGTTCAAACTTGGGTTACTCGATAGTTAAATTAAAAATATAATTTTGTACTGGCATTTCCACTTTGCTATAGAGCTTCAATGTTGGAATAGTGCCTGGTCAAAAAAAAAATCAATTCAGTGAAATGTTTGCATAGTACTATGTGAGGAAGGTTAGGTGAATATGCACTACACCTACTGTACCAAATGAGCAAACATATGCTGAATGCTCCTATTTCTATATAGTTTCTATATGCCCTATACATTTGGGGCTGATGGTATTATAATGAAATTTTAACCAATTCATTGCCCAAGCAATGAGAAGTTTAACTCTGGAACACTTGATGAATAATATAGATCCTCTTCTGCTCTTTCAAATATAAAAAAAAAAAAATACTGCAAAAAATCATTTGGTCAAGATAGTCAAATGAAGGTATTCTCTTTTTGTTTGTTTATTTCTAACCGGGTCCTACGAAAGCCTATATTAGTAGGAAGATCAAATTGGCCATCTTGTCTATCCTTAGACAACATACATAACTATATTTGAAAATGTTAAAATTTAAGAAAAGTAAAGGCTTACAACGCTCTGATTCTAATGATACTACTCTCTCACTGAACCGGTGCATAATCCATGATCAATATGCTGTTATTCAGAGAAGCGTGAGATAATGTGACCATAGGGAATAATGTGGTACTCCCATAGAAGTTCCAGTGCTAACTAGAAGTATGGTTTCAATTAGCAGTGGTGATAATAATACTGATGATTGTTGTAATATCTATGATCATCTTTTTAGTTGAATATGATACATAAGAGAGTAGAGAGACTCCTGAGTTGAAGGGATCATGAATGTTGGTGCTAACATAGAAATGTTTGTATGACCTTGATTGGATCATTGAGCTGAAATATGTTATAGTTTCTGAATCTCTAAAATGTAAAGGTTAAATCTGATAATTTTTAAATGTAAAATTTCTATATTGGGCACAGCATTATGAAGGGAAAAAATGTATAAGTTTTTGAATCCCCAAGAACCTGGGTTAACAGACACTGTTACTTATCATCCATAGGACTTTGTCAGGAACAGTCTCTTATACCCTCAACTTTTAAAAATCAAGTTGGAAATAATTAAATCGATAGGACAGAATAGAGCATAAGTTAGAATTAAAGGATGTTAATTCATGGCTCATCGTAGGAACTTAAATGTTTATTTGCTTCTTTATGACTGCTTTTTTACCTTACTATCAATGTGAGAGATGGATAAAATTTATGTCAGTCATCAGTAACAATGTGATCGTAAAAATATATATGGCTTTATAGTAGCTACTTCTGTGGAACAATTACAGCAGCCTTTGTCCAATATGTAGCAAAATAAGTTGAAATTCTGAAACTTAAATGTTCAACTTGGAAGTTTGTCCTGTATGTGCTGCATAGACTTGTAAATGCACCAAAATATTGCAGGAGAATAACACAATGGCTCTACTTCTGGAAATTCAAAGACCCTGCTCTGTAACCAACTATACTCTCAAAATGCACTGCAAAAGAAGGTTGCTGATTACATAGAGGGCCTGTGGTAGAGTTATCTGGAGTTGGAAGGTGGGGCAAATAATGTTTTTATCCATAATCTTCCAGCAAATGTAAAATAGTGAAGGTTCACTTTTCCTAGATAGCTTTGAGTTTTTCTCATCTTTCACAGAGAAAATTGAGTTCATATGATTTCTGAAATATACAATTATAGGAAACCATGTTTGGAGTTGAGATTGGAGATGAAATGGCATGCTTGATTCCTGTTTGGACAAAAATAACTATCGGAGAGGAAGTCGACCTTGAATGACACTGAAAAGCAGGAAAATGAAGCATAAACTGTCAGGTGATGGGACAAATCTAAAACGTTGAAGGGCTACATAATAAAATGAGTGAAATAGGTTGACTCGATCAAGGGACATTATGGGAAATTATGTCATTACTGTACTATTTGTTTCTGTGATAAATGAAGAACTCTATTTCCTTGACTCAGGTTTAAGATCTCCTCTAATTCATAATTTCTTCCAAATCTACTTTGGAAGAAAAAAGAGAGATTCATTTGTAAAGTATTATTTTATTTGTCTCCTGGTCCAAATTGCGTATGTCATTTTGTGCTACCCAAGATGAATATTGTGGTAGTGATGGTCTTATTTTTTTCCCTTCGTTTGAAAGAAAAACAATTCCAGATAATGGTCAGTTTGAGTCCAGCAGAAATAGCCATTTCATGTCAAAAATATGATTGCAAAAATTACTTTAAAAATCTCCTCAGTAATAAATATAGGTAAAGGAGTATGCCAATTTGGATTAAAGTTATTCTTAGTATTAAGGAGAAATGATACTTCTTTGCTCCTTCAAAATTTTTAATTTCCTGATTGGGACTTGCCAGGACCTGAATGTGTCTAGTCTTGTGTAAGGATTATTAACCATTCTGAGAAGGCTAGTTACTTTTTAATCACCTGAAAACCTTTCTATCACTAAATAGGTGGAGAATACAGTAGCAAGACAGAGAGATCTCCAGGGCACGATCTGCTGGGAACTTGCTGAGTTGACTGGGATTAAGAAATGTGTTTTAAATCACCCTCCTCTTCTAGCAGGAAAAGTATACTAACAAGTATGGAGCAAATGTCAGGTAACAGCTAACAGATATACCTGTTGAAGTTTCACAATTGGCTAATAAAAACAACTTGTTTGCAGATAGTTTGTCTACATGAGAATAGTCCTGTTTGCTCTATTGTGTAAACATAGAAATGTTTATTTAAATCCAACTGATAATTCAACACATCATGAAGGTGAATACTTTTTGTTTGGGGGAAAGCACAATAGGAAAAAAATGAAATTCATTAAAAATGTAAAAATGTTGATGTCATTATGGCTTTTAAACCCAGGCTGCATGCCTTATCCATGGCTGTCATTTGACAAAGTCTGAACCTTCATCAACTCCTCCTTTTGGTACAAGTCATTCCCAGCTGGTCACCCATGCCGTCATTTCTACTTCCAAGTAGCTCTGAAGCTGGGCTGCTTTTGATTACTTCCATTATTACTACTTTAATTCAGAATCTTAGTAACTTGCTCTAAGCATAGCCTTCCTGTTTTTCTGCCTTCATTTCTCTCTGAAGCCATCCTTCACTTTGATTCTTGTTTCCTGCAGAAAGAACCCTTTTGCCTCACCTAGCATTTTTCTGTTCCGATTTGTGAGAGGTAGAGGGAAGTGAGACTCAGAAAAAAAAAAACAAAAAAAAAAAAAAACAAATAGGCTGTGGTGGAGCAGTCAAGTTAGAGATGAGGCAAGAAGGTCCATATATTAAAGTGATAAAAAGTGAATTTATCACCTATCCGTCTATTGTTATATTTATAAAGATGTTTTATATTGTCTTTTTCCTTTCTGCACTAAAAATGTACAAAAAACATTAGTGATCATGTGTGGTGACTATATGGTACTCTCTGCACACAGGCCCCTAGCATACATATGAGGAGCAAAGATACTGCTGAAGATCTTTGAAGGTTTGATACAATCATTCAGAGAGGTTCTGTTCCATTCTTCCATTGGGGTTTTTTGAAACACATCACTTGTTGAAATCATCACTTTGAAAGTATACATCAGTTAACTTTCTGAAAATATACTTTTTCTTTTATTTTCTTGGTACAGAGGGTCAATATATATGAGACTTTGGTATTAGGAGTTGGATGTAAAGTAGTTTATCTACTTCCAGCACTTAACTAGTTATAGAACCTCTATTTCTCATTCAGTTTGGCAGTATCACATAATTATTTCACCTACCTCTCCAGACTCATTTGATCCTCATATAGTCCTATACTCTTCCCTTCAGTCTCCACAGATATTACTTCCTCTCTTTAGAACATTTTCTCATAGTCCAACTGTAACCTAACCGTCCTTCAAGACTTAACTTATATGACACCTTCTACAGCAAACCTTATTTGACTCCTAATTGAAGTTAACTGCCATTTATTCATTCCCATATGATCCTATTCTTCTGTCATAATGCATCTTATGCAATTGTTATTGATGTCTTCCCAACAAGACCAACAGCCCTGTAAGAACAAAGCTCCTTTTTTTTTTTCTCTTGTTTGCCACTCTATAATTAGCGCCTAACCAAGCCCCCAGGAATGTAAGAGGTACTCAGTGGATCTTTGTGAAATGATACCTACAAGTGAGATTTGTTATTTGTCAGGAGTGACATATGCAAAATTTCACTGGGTAGTGTTGTATAACAACAGCCATCCATGTGCTAGGCATTCACAAATACCTGTTCAAAAGTCATTGAATGAATGATGTGGTAAGAAGAATGTGAAAGCCCCTTTCTCCAAAATAGTTCTTTCCAGAACTTGAATTCTTGAATTATATTGTTCATGATGTTGTTAATTTCCCATCACAGCAGCCAGAAGCTGGAAGAATAGAATATAAAACAATAGAGATCTGCATCCTTTCCAGTTTGAAGAAAGGTCTTTGAGAGCCAGGAAAAATAAAATAAGACGATCTCAGGAATGAAAGCGCGCTGGGAAAGAAGGGAGAAAAGGAGAAAGTCCAAAGCCACCCAACTCTCTAGCTCTACTCATTTTGACCCCTGTTGTGGCAAGTGAGGGATTCTTTTCCTTCAGTTCTCAGGAAACATTTTGTTAAAGCTTTTATAGCAAGGAGCTTAAAAACAAAGAAGATATATGCAATTCAATAAAATGAAACCCAGTGTTTAATTACTAAATATCCTACCTCTAAAATTAAAGAAAAAAAGCTTAAATAATTCAGTTTGATTTGGTCTCATTAGTCTGATTTCCTAGTATTTAGCCTTAATTATGTGATACATAAGCCCTAATTATGTGGTACATATACAGTGTGCTCTCTAAAGTTAAAGATCAGAACGGATACTGACTTAAATGATAAAATATGTTAAATTATTAATGATAATTAATCTTACAAAATAGGCATAATTAGTTTAAGTACTTTAGATATTATTCTTAATAGCATTACAAATAATATGACACAGTTAGATCATTTTAAAAATAATTTATTGGAAAGAAAGGCTACACAAGCAGTGTTTTGTACTCAGGAGGGCTAACCAATTGCTTGGTGCTGTCAAAATATATCTAGCTGTCCTTGTTGATAAGGTGAGTTCCCTTTAACCCATTAAATTCTATGTCCTATATTAAATGGGAATATTACTTTTAAAGAATGCTTTTTCACAGATGAAATAATCTTTATATTAATATTAACTATGCCATGAGGGTTTTTTTTTAAAGTTCTTTTGTTCAATGCATCCTGATTATTGTGTCATAAATTGTTTAGCACCTGTTCAATTTTGTTTTGCCATTTGCTTTTTTATTATTATGGATTGTTTATATCTTCTACTGAGGTCAATTTAAAATTTACTTATTTAGTTTTGATACCATAGACTAAAGTGTTTTGTTCTCACTGTTTCCTAACTCTGAATAAATCTGTCATTATCATTTAAATCTAACACTAGGTTAAATTTCTATAGCAATATGAAAGGAACAGTTTGCTGTTAAAGCAAAGTTTTGAAATGAATGAATTTTGAATGGTACCACCATGGAGGCAGAGATTTTATTCATCTTTTCTACCTATGGTTTAGTAATAAAGAATAAGATCATAAACTACATGACAAAAATCATACTATTTGCCCTGTAGGTTTTACTACTGTTTCCCAGACGAGGCTCAAAATATCCTGGCTAAATATAACTGAGGAAAGCTCATAATCAAGCTGCAAAGTATTTTCTTATAATGTAGTTCAAGCAAATGTCCAGAAACATGGTTTCATAGAATAAGATCTTGGGTGGTAAAATCAGTCCCCCATTTACAAATGACTGTTGAGCCTTAATGTAATAAATTTCATAGTAGTTAAAAGGACATAGAGAATGCTAAGCAGTGTTCTTTTTTTCTTTTCCTTTTTGAGCATCTGTCGCTAGAGTCATAAAAAATAGTTTGTAATATTAGGCTTTTGTTCAAATGATATCTTTCTTCAATATTTCAATAAAAAGTGCATTTTCCCAGAGAACTTATTCATAATTTAATATGAAAACTACTATCAACAAAGTTTGGAGCACACATTTTCCCAAAATTCAGGCTCCCTAATTAGACGTAAAGAAGCATTTTTTTTTTAAATACTAGCTCTCATATGACTGAATAAATAACCTGTGAGGAAAACAGGAAATGGCTACCCCAGCTAGGGAAGGCTGGCTGAAGTGGGGACAGTCAAGGAAAGGGAATGTCCACAATCATAGCATTCTACCTAGAGGGCTGCAAACACAACAGGGTTGAAACAGTCATTCTCATATATTTTTTTAAAGCAACAGTAGTAAATTTTCTTCAGATGAGATTTAGCATAGAACTTCAGCATATAAAACAGATAAAACCAATGTTAAGTCAATGAGAACAATGAAGGTACTTCACCAAAAAATGTAAAAGTTGATATCATGGAGGGCAATCAATACCCACCAATGTTAGCATTCAGGTAATATCTCTTATTTTGTTTCTGTACCATTTCAAAAAAATCCACCCAGAAATAGAGTAAAACATATTTTATTTATTCTACAGATGCCCATGTTTTATGCTGTTCTTCAATCAACTATGACAGTGTCAACATATGAAATTTTTGTTTGAGGGGTACAATGAAGCTATTTTGATCCAGAACCATATTAAAATGTTTATTCCTGTGATTTTGTTTCATGTTATTTAATTGTGATCTCTATATTTATGTGATGTGATTGATTTCACATAAAAATCCTTACAAACTATTGCGTATTTCATATTGCTTGTGATACTATGAATTATCTCATGGCTTTATGAAATCTCTGATGAGAAATTCCAGTTTATACTTTGTACCAAGATGCACAGTGGTACAGAGCCTAAGAAAACAAGTCTTGTGAATATTATGAACTATTTAGGTGCCAAGTATTAACTATTTATTTTTGCTGTAAAACCTTGAACCACCAAATATGGTCAAGACTTACAAGTGTGTGTCTTTCTACCATAAACTTGTAACATCATAGCAGTCTTCTTTTTTTTTTTTTTTTCACTTCGGGCTCTTTGTGTATGTTTCTGAATTTTTAAATATTATTGTACAATGTCATATTAAATATTATTTGAAAAAAATAAAGATTATAGCTACATAGAGAGTGCTTAGTTTATAACAATATTTTGATCATTCCTCTACTGTCTTTCCCACTTTTGAAGAATAAAGCCACACCTAATTCCGCACTTGTAACATCAGACCTAGGACAATGTCTGCACTTTAGAGGGTAATCAACAGATGATTGTCAAAGTAATGAACAGGCTAACAATTCTATAGTATAATTCTATATATTCATTTTAAACTATAGACTAACAAAATATGTGATAAAGCCTTTTAGTTACATGAATCATTTTGCTCTGCAGACTTGTTTCCATCCCAAGAATTTGCAGACATCTAAGCATCTCTATGCTATTTAATAACTGTACTGATACAAGCTGTAATCTTTGCACTTGCTATTTTTATCCTAGAATGTTCCCTCCTATTTTGTCAATTTTAATTAAAGCGTCACTTTCTCTCTGAAGGATTTCTGCCTCTAAAAGGAGTGTAAAATCACTCTTCCATTGAATACTTAATGTAGAAG